TGGAACTAGAGCATTTCACTTACACTAAGTGAAATCAGAGGACAAATGTCATATGACTTCACTCATATGTGGAATTTAAGATAAAAAACAGATGAACATAAGGGAAGGGAAGCAAAAATAATATAAAAACATGGAGGAGGACAAAACATAAGAGACTCATAAACACAGAGAACAAACTGAGAGTTGCTGGAGGAGTTTTGGGTGGGGGAATGGGATAAATGGTCAAGGGGCATTAAGGAGGACAGTTAACTGTTGGGACGAGCACTGGGGTTATATGTAGGGGAGGAACAACTGGACTCTACTTCTGAAATCATTATTGTACTATATGCTAACTAACTTGGATATAAATTTTGAAAAAATGAAAAAAGTAAATAAAAAATTTTCTTTTTATGTCAAAAAAGAAAAAAAAAAGCCCATGAGTATTCCTAACACAACTGGTTAGGAAGTGTGGCCTCCAACCAACAGTCATGGGGACAGATCTCTTAGAAGTAGATCATCCAGCCCAGTCAAGTCTTTAGGTGACAGCAACCCCTGATGTCTTCTCATCTCAACCATAGCATCATGAAACTCTGGGCAAGATGTACCAGCTAAGTCACACTTGAATTTCTGACCCACAGACATTGAAATGATAATTAAGGTTTATTTAACCAAGAAAAAGAATCTGTGTGTGTATGTGTGTGTATAAAATGACATGAAAGATAGGTAATTGACAGATAGATGATAGATAGATAGATAGATAGATAGAGATATATAATGATGATGATAGATGATCGATAGATAGATGATAGATAGATAGATAGATAGATATAGATAGATAGATAGACACACAGACCTGGTTGAAACTAAGATGCAAAGCCCCCTCTCCCCACTAGTTAGGAAAGTTGCTTCTTTGGAGCCCACAACAATTGACTTTTTTCCCTTGGGTACTCCTTCTATTGCCTGATGTCCTTGCACGATCCGATCCTGTGCCTCAGCCTCCGCAGCATGCTAAGAGGAGATCTAGGGACAACTTGAGTCTCATCCTCCCATCCTTAATCCAGCAAGAAAGAGGGTCTGCACTGTTCAAAAGCCAAACTGGAATATCAATGTGTCCTCTTTTTGTTTCTAGTACAACAGTCAAACTCTTTGTGAGCTAAGGACAAGAATTGTTATTAACCACATTGTAATATGATGGTCAATGAGTCTATTGGGGCAACGGCAGGAAAGACTTGAGACAGGCCACCTTGATTGCATTGTGAACCTTCTAAATCCTAGTACCATCTGAGCAACGAATCACCCTGCAGCTAGAGTCCCCACACCACACACACACACCATACCTCAGTCTTGGAACAAGCACTTAAGACTAGATTTTAAATACTTCCTTGGGATATTGTTGTTTCCGTGTCAATAATGAGATGGTGGACAGAACCACTTTTATGCCCTTGACTCTTTTTGTCATGAGATTATTCTACAGAGATGTTCTAGAATGGAATATCTTACCAGCAGAGAGATGATCCTCACTGATCATTTTGAAATCAATGCCGTAGAAATAACTCATCTTAAAACAGAGAATGACAATGTTTGAATGACCTAAGAATGGACATTTATACAGACATATCCTAAGAGAGGGGCAATATGCAACCCTGACTGTGGGGAATTTGCCTAAAAATCACTGGAGCCCAACACTTGATGGAAATGGCCCCAGCTCAGGCAGGAACACTCAGGGAGCTCACTGCAGAGGGGCATTACTAATTTAGCACACTGGGATGCCTGCCTCACATTTGCTGGAAGTGGACAGTGCGTGAAAGCAATAATCTGAAGGAAATGCTGTTTTAGACTATACACTTGCCCATGTAAGGGTCAGAGCTAATGCCACCTCCAGTGATGCCTCACCGGCTGTGGGCATCTGCCAATGCAACAGCCTGGCTCTGTGCCCTGGACTCATAGGCTGTGGGGACAGGCTTTGTTCCCAAGCTTCACCAATGGGGGCTAGAAATTGGCCCCGCACAATGATAACAGCCAGAACACTGGGCAACCTTGGAAGGCAAGACATATCTGGACATGAACACCTGACACTATGTGTTGGTAGGGGCAATTTCCATTCCCTGGAACCACCTGAAAGCCAAGATTTCTGGCAAACATTCTCAGGAATAAATTCCCAGGCCTGTAGTCGGGAATCATGTGGGACATTAGAAGAGCATACCTATGTTGATTATCAAAAGCTCAGCTCTGTGGTCTCTTCTGCACCAGCCAGGGGACACTGGACACTACTCTCGGCATTCCCACGGTGTTAGAGTCTGGACACATCCTAGGTAAAATAAATACAGGACTGCACACAAAGTAGCAATGAAGTGGTGAATAGCTTCCTAGCCTTCCCCCTTAGGGAACAAAGAAAGGAGGAAGAATGCTAGAGCAGGGGACAATGGACTGTCCGGTAATGTACATAAGGACCTACTCCAGCTGTCTGAAGTCCCTGCCATGTGTGTGAGACTCATCAAAGCTCTCCACATCTCTGAAGAAAATAAATAAGAATACCTCCATGACATGGAAACATATATGGCAGCATCAGGTATATTGCAGTTTTAAAAAATATAAAGGTGTAGGGTAACTCTGAAGGGGAAAATAGCACCAAGCAACCTATATCAAGGCTGGAGGGGCTTCCAGCATGGGTAAACAGGTACAGAGAATTCCTAGAAAGGTCAGTGATTGAGATTTGGACTAATCAGAGGGTAAAGCAATTGCTTACTGTCTGGAGAAGCCAATGTAGATAGAATCATCATCAATATGACTTGGGAAAATTTTTTTTTCAAGAACAATTACAGGGGACATTTACAAAATGTGTATTCAAAATTCTGAATAAGTTAAACAATATAAAATAAGCAATTGAACATCTGGAAAATTTGCTTACGAAGAAATAATAATCAGGTATAAAAATAAAAACAGTAAAACCTTGGATTCCGAGTAACTTGTTCTGCGAGTGTTCTGCAACCTGAGCAAACATTTCTAATAAATTTTAACTTGATAAACAAGTGATGTCTTGTAATACAAGTCCTATGTGATGCCAAACATCACATGATCACAACTGAGCCAATGGTTCTTGAAATTCACTGTGATATACAAGTGCTTTCTATTACAAGCATCACTCCAAAATGAATTATGCTCGCAAACCAAGGTTTTACTACATAAAAAATAAATATTTGGCACAACACTTACCACAATAGCGGACTATAGAAAAAAAAAATGAATCAGTCAATTCATGGGCACTGTTTAATGTGAGAATGAGTTTTGAGAGGCCTCATCCTGGGAAGGACACCAGCTCTGAGGGCCTCTGTGCATGAGAACAGGCTGCCAGCTTCAAAGCAGCCTTTTTTCCATCCATAGAGCTATATGGTCACTGAGGCCTGGGGGTCTGAAATCTTACAGCAGACAAGGAGTGGCAACCCCTTCCCTGATCCACTGCAGCCTCTACGAACCAGCCTCAGCCTGGGCCCATGCCCTACACTTGGGTGACTTCTCATTGTGATTCAGCGGCATCCTCTCCAGGGACTCACTCAGAACTGTGCTCCCCAAAATGTGGTCCAGGACCAGGACCAGCAGCATCCCCCAGGAGCAGGTGAAGATGCAAACTCTCCAGCCCTGCCAGACTTGACTGGGTCAGAATCCTGAGTGAGGAAAAGGTCCAGGGTCCTGGGTGTCCACAGGCCTTCAGGGCATTCTGGTCCCCCTGAGTTCACAAGTAGCTGCAGACATGTGCTGAAGCCTTTCACAGGCACAGAGCTGAAGCCTTGTTTGGAAAGATGTGTTCTTTAGTTCTTCCAGAGCCTCATTTGCTATTCCAGATGGAGGCTGTGAGGGTCTTTCTCTAGAACCCAGACTCTGCACACAAGAGATTGTGTCCACTGAACCCTGAGAACCAAGGCCACTAGAGGGCACCTATGCTCACCTACTGGTCACAGCTCAGCTATCTTGAAGCTCACTGGCTTTGCTCTGGGTCTGTCTCTTACTCCACCCTCCCTCCCCTAGAGCAAATTCCTACAAAGGGATCTATAGGCCCAGGGTGTGTCAAGGGTCACCCTGCTGCAACACCTTTGGAGAGAGGACTCTTACATCATCCAGCCAGGCCCCCAGGCTGAGCACATGGCTGAGAAGTGCAAAGGGAGATGCAGTGAGCTCAGCTGGAACCTCCTGCTTCTGGGATCCCAAACTTCCATAGCCTGGCATAATCCCAGGAGTCAATGAGCCTTATCTGCTCTCCTGCTCAAGGTGGGCTGGGAAGCTGAGGAGGGACACAGACACATGGACCCATCAAGACCTCCGTGGTCTTTCCTTCACAGGATACCCATTTTCTCTGGACAGGATGACTTCTGTCTCTCCCAAAGCTAACTCTTAGCAACTAACTCAACCTTTTGGCTCTGTCCTTGTTTCAGTGGCTCTCGTTCTACTGTTCTGCCCTGGGATCACCTTCCACTTCTACCTCTTGCTCTTGTGTCCTTGTTTCAGCCTGTGATTCTGGGGCATACAAATGAAGTCCCTCTCCAGTGAGGTGCTGAGGGAGAGGTTGTCTGGAAATCAGCTACAGGGGACCCCTCCCTCTCATTGCTGGTTCTTTCCAAACCACCCTGCCTGAGCTTGCCCCTGTCTCTAGACAGGAGGCAATTATGCAGCTTGGGATGGGGGAGTCAGGGTGACATGCGGGAAGGGACAGGGTATAATAGCAGAGAGGAGATCCAGAGGGAGGAGTTGTTCTGAAGCTGATATACTGGACCAATTCCCAAGGAGGCTCAGTGGGAGCCTGAGCTAGAAGGACAAAGGCCATGGGTGTCCAAGTATCTGTAGTCATTCCAAACTGGTGGTGCCGGTGGGCTCTGCCCTGGGCCATGCTGCTGCTTCTCTTAGGTTCTGAGTTCCTGGAAGAAGTAGAGAGTGAAGATGAAAAACCTACAATGAGCTACTTACTTGCAACTGTGGAGTATGCCATACACATATTCAACCTGCAGAGCAATGATACAAATGCCTACAGGCTGGTGCGCATCTTAAAGCCCAGGAGAGAGCAGGTATGTACCACATCTTCTGGCCTAATTACCTGCACTTGCTATGAAGTCAGTATCAGAGGTGCAGTCAGGGGTCCTATCTAGGGATATTGTTCACCATCTGAAGTCCGTAATACAGCAAAAATACAAACACCACAGTTAGTTACAGTTTTATGAAAGAAACAATTTAAAAATGCAAACACCCAGCTCAATGTATACCACATGTAAGATGTTTTCCTCTTCATCATTTTTAGAAGTTACTTATTGATGATCAAAATATGGACTATGGAATGGTAGTCCTATGAAATGATCCTGAGTAAGGCAAAGACCAAGACAGAAAGGAGGAGAAGGAGACAGATTGAGAAATGCAGAGGAGACATAATGAAGAAATATTCTAAGAAAACATATGCAAACAGGAACAGAGAACAGACACCAAGAGAGGTGGGAGTGGGGATGGAGGATCCAGGGAGAAAGGATTCTTCCTCATCCAGAGCAGCCACTGTGACCTCAGGGCCTCTTCTCTGCACTCCTCCCATACTCTTCCTAGACCATGATTCTCAATCCTGGAGTACTGTTCTTATAATGGAGAGTCTACAGAATGCAGCCAAGAATGCCATTTTCACAGGGGCTCTAACAGGAACAAGTCTGGTTGTGTGTGTATGAAGGGGTTTGGGGTGTGTAAGTGTGGGTGTGAGTGTCTCAGTGAATTTGAATGCAAGTGTATATGTGTGTTAGTATTAATTTTTGAGTGAGTGTGTGACTTTTTGTGTGTGTAGGTATGAGTGTGAGTGAGTGTGGGTTAGTGTGTAGTATGTCTGTGAGTGTGAGCATACAGCAAGTGTGTGTAAGTATGTATGTCTGTGAGAGAATTGTGTGTGCACATTGGGAGCCCAGGACCTTCCTCTCTCTCCCTCTGGACCTCTGCCCTGAGAGCCTGAGGGAAGGGCAGTGGGAGCTCTACCCTGCATGAGCTCCACCCTCTGCAGACACTGCAATGCCAGCTTCCAGCTGGGTCTGCCACCCAAGCTCTCTCAGGCTGGGCTCTCTCTACTGTGGGTTTCCTAGATCTGCACTTGCACTCAGTTTGGGTGTTGGGGGAAATGGAGGGTGGAGTGGGGAGTATGGGATGGAATGAAGCATAATAGAGTGAAGAAGAGATAAAAAAAATTCAGAATGTACTTTGTATTAGAACAAGAGGTATCCAGAAGCCATGTTCATGTGTGCGTGTGTGTGTGTGTGTTATGTGTGTGTGTGTGTGTGTGTGTGCTCACACATGTGTGTGTACATGTGAGTGTTCCGGCAGCATTGCAGGGCATTTTCCTATTGTCAGGCAGGTGACAGGTGTGACAATGGGGCTGTAGATGCGCCTCCCACTCTGGGGCTGTTACTCAGCAAACTCTTACAGAGACAACACCCTGCCAGGCCCTGGGCACCTGTGCCCCAGGGGTGCTGTTGTAGCTTTAGAAGCATGCTGGACGTCAGGCTCAGTCTCCTTGGGGTATTTGGGGACATGGGGCAGTGGGTGTGATGTATTAATGCTGAATGACTCAGCTGGCATTTCCCCCTGGTCTGAATATCAACCACAGGCCTCTTTACTCTGAATTCCCCAAGCTTGGCCTTACCCCCAGCAAGCTGACCCAGCCCTAAAGGCAGCTCCTTAGTGGAGGAGTGTTTGGGGCTGTCTCTACACTGCATGGATCTACAGTAGCAGTTGCTCAAGGGTACCATGAGGTGGGTTCTCATGTTAATGTCCATGTCTGTAACAGTTCAAGGAGGACAGCACATTGGCATTCTCTTTTGAGCTTCAGCTTAGAAGAACAAGATGTGGGAAATTTGATGAAGACATTGACAACTGTCCCTTTCAAGCAAGTTCAGAGAAGAACAATGTAAGATACACAGCAGGTCCTTTGGGTTACACAGTTGAGGATGCAACATGGAGCTGAGGAGAGGTGGTGAAGATGACAGTGCCATTCCTTGAGACACAGAGGAGTGAGGGAGCTTCAGGCCTTGTCACACCCATGGCTGGTGCTGCAGTTGGAGCCAGCTGGGAAAGCCAGCCCCAAGATCCACTTGTAGATCCATAGCCAATCTGGGAACTGATTCTGAATGCTCACCCCATGCTAGCTGCCTGTCCCCAAAGCCACAGTGGTATCAGATTGCTCCTGGTCACGAGGATTCAGGTCTCCTGGGAAGGCCATAGGATATCCCTTCTCTGGTCTTTATTGACCTCCTTTTTCTAAATAATTCAGGGGGAGCATATTGAGATGGGCAACATGACCTTTGCCAAAATGGCTTTCTCAGGTCCCACTGAGAAAAGAATCGATGGGATGGGGATTGAGGAGGGGCCCATGACCCTCCTTCCCATGCCTTAACCAGGTTCCACTGACTTATCAGCTGCTGCTCCAGGGGAAATGATCAAGGTGAACCCCAGCTCTGGGATATACCTCACCTGGAGTGATGGGCTCTTCTGAGCTAGCACCCCCTTGGAGAGAGCACCCCAATGCTCTACTAAGGGTCTGGGTTACACTGGGTCAGCCTAAAGGTCCCCTGGAGACCACTGGCCTAAAGATGAGAAAATGACACAGGAGTCCCTGAGATCAGGACAAGGGCCCAGGTCCAGAACAGGCAAGGGGATGCACCTGAGGGCCACAGCCTGCCCCTCAGCTGCTCATCCTGTGATGTGTGATTGGGATGTGTGCTGTGTTTAATGTTGAAGCTACTATTTCTAACCACTCTCCACTCACCTTCCATCCCTGTGCTTGACCCTCAGATCATCACCTGCTTTTTCACCATCGCCAGTGAGCCCTGGTTAACACTGTTTGAACTCTGGAATAAGACCTGCTTGGATGGCTTCCACAAATGAGACTCCAGCCCATCTGGCTCTGGCTGCTCTCCTCTGGGACACCAGTGTTGTCCTGTGGGTGGCCTTTCAGTGGTTGACTAGGTCCAAGTTTTGTTCTCTTTATTTGTAAATATCTGGTATCTCCTATTGGGGCATTGTGAAAATTCCTCATTACTTCATATAGAAAAATCATTAAACATTAGCATTCCAAGAAGCTTTTTGTGGCATGGTTCCAGAAGGATGGGACAAGCAAGTGAAGAAATCCTCCACCAGGGAAACATCATAGTCCCAAGTGTGTGCGTTCTCTTCCCTCTAGGACCTCTGCTTTAGTAAGTCATTAGTCTTATTATCATTGTCTCATTGCTTTTAAAGTTCCATAGAGAATGTGAACACATATTACAATGTTGTCTTTCAGTGAGACTGTATCTACACACACACAGGCAAGGATCGCATTCTGTCCTTAAGGCCATGGATGCCTCCCACCCCCACACAGATTTTTCTCTAGTGCCAGTGCAGCTGGTGACCCCAGGACCTCACACTCCATGCTCCACATCAATATCTTCCTCTACCCCTAGCTTTGGTTAGCAAGGCTTTCTCTGTACCAGTGGCACTTCATCAGCAGAGGACACACATCTCAGTGGGGAAAGATAAGGACTATGGACACACTTCACCCCCAGGAAAAGCTTCAGTGGGGAAGGGCTTAGGGTCCCAACCTCAGACTGGCAGCCAGAGATGAGAACCACAGGGTTCTCACACACTTCAGCAGGACAAAACTCATGGCTGCTCAGTGACTCATAAAACAGCCACATTAACTTTCTCCCTCCTCTGGCTCCCTTCCTCTCTGTGTCCCCTGTCATCACTTCCTAAATGCACTACTTGCCCCATAAAGTCTTCATTGCAAGGTCTCCCTGGGGACTTACAGCAGACATGTATGCTAGACGTTTTCAGGGCTCATCCTCTACAGAGACCTGGATGGACCTCCCAGGAATGTATGATTCTAGGCTGAGCCACAGGGAGCCACTGCAGCGTCCACAGAGGCTGGAGCTCATGCAGGGTGGAGCTCCTACTGCCCTTCCCTCTGGCCCTCAGGGCAGAGGTCCAGAGAGAGATAGAGGAAAGTCCTGGGCCCCCAATGTGCACACACAAACTCATTCACAGACATACACACTCACACACGCTGCAGTGCCAGCTCCCTGCTGGGTCTGCCACCCAAGCTCTCTCAGGCTGCACCTCTGCTGTGGGTTTCCCAGATCTGCACTTGCACTGAGCTTGGGTATTGTGGAAAATGCAATGTGGAGGGAGGGTATGGGATGGAATGAAGCAGAATAGAGTGGAGAGGAGTAGAGAGAATTCCAGCAGCACTTTGTAATAAGACAAGAAGCATCCAGAAGCCATGTTCATGTGTGGGTGTGTGCACGCCTACATGGGAGTGTTCCATCAGCACTGCAGGGCCTTTTCCTATTGTTTGGCAGGTGGCAGGTGTGACAATGGGGCTGTATATGAGTCTCCCACTCTGGGACTGATGTTACTCAACAAACTCTACAGAGCCAACACCCACCTGGACACTGGGCACTGGGCACCTGTGCCCCAGGAGTGCTGCTGCAGCTTCAGAAGCATGCTGGATGTCAGGCCGGGTCTCCCAGGGGCATCTAGGGACTTGGAGCTCCAGGGTGTGATGTATTAATGGTGTATGACTCAGCTGGCATCTCCCCCTGGCCTGAATACCAATCACAGGCCTCTTTGCTGTGAATTCCCCAAGCTTGGCCTTACCCCCAGCAAGCTGACCCAGCCCCAGAGGCACCTCCCTAGTGGGGGAGTGTTTGAGTTCTCCCTACACTACATGGATCTACACTAGCAGCTGCTCAACAGAACCATGGTGGGTTGGCATCTAATGTCTCCATGTACCACAGATAGAAAAGAGCCTGGCCTTCTCCATGTAGTTGGAGCTTTGCAGAACCAAATGTGGGAAATTTGATGATGACACTGACAACTGTCCCTTCCAAGAAAGCCCAGAGCTGAACAATGTAAGACACACAGAAGGCCCCTTGTGTTACATAGCTAAGGTTACAGCTTGGGGCAGAGGGGGAGGGGGAGTAGATAACAGTGCCATTCCTTGGGACACAAAGGAGTGAGGGAGAAACCGGCCCTGTCACACCCGTGGCTGGTGCTGCAGTAGGAATGAGCCAGGCAGGCCAGGCCCAGGGTCCACTGGTAGGCCCCTATCCAATGTCATAACTGACTCTGTCCACTCACCTCATTCTAGCACCTGTCCCATGGGCCATAGTGGGGTCAGGTTGCTCCTGGCCACAAGGGTCCATGTCTCCTGGGGCTGAGACAGGAAGTCCCTTCTCTGAGCTTTATCCATCTCCCTTTCCTGCCTTCAGGAGAGGGGCATGTCAGGATGGGCTACATCGCCTGGCCTGTTGTGGCTATTTCTGAGGTTCTCTTGTCTCTGCTGAGTGCATGATGGTGTGAGGGTTGAGGAGAATCCCACACTCCTCCCTCCCATGCCCTGACCTGCATCCCACTGATCTATCAGCTGCTGCTCCAGGGGAAAAGTTCATGGTGAACCCCAGCTCGGGGACATGACCACCTGGTACGAGGGGCTACTCTGACATAGCATCCCCTGGGAGAGAGCACCCTAATGCTCTACTAGGGGCCTGGGTCACACTGCATCCACCTGAGTGTTCCCCTGGAGTCCACTTGTCTAAGGATGAGAACATGGTACAGGATCCCTTGAGGTCAGGACAAGGCCCCAGGCACAAAACAGACAGGGCTCAGGCAGAGATGCACCTGAGGTCCACAGTCTGCATCCCCAGCTGCTCACCTCAGGAGGTGTGGTTGGGATGTGTGCTGTGTTGAGAGCTAGAGCCTCTGTTTTCCACCACTCTCCATTCACCTTCCACCTGTGCTTGATCCCTCAGACTTTCAACGACTTCTTCACCATTGCCACTATACCCTGGGAAACCACCTTCAAACTCCTGTGCAATGTTTGCTTCGAGGGCTTCCATTGAGTGCTGCTATACCCTGCCTGACTCTGGCTGGTCTGGATCCAGTTGCTCCTTATAGGTGTCTCTTCAGTGGCTGTGGAACACCAGCTCTGTTTGTTTTCTAGCAAGTGCCTGGGTCTCACTTCCAGCCATTATGGAAATTCCTCATTGTCCATTTTTTTTCATATAGAATAGATCATTAAAAATCAGCATTTCAAGAAGCTTTGTGTGTCAGGGTTCCAGAAGGAGGGGATGAGCAAGTGAAGGAATCATCCAGCAGGGAAACCTCATGGTCCCAAGTGTGTGTTTTCTTCCCTCTAGGACCTCTGGGCCAGTTCCAGGTGGCACAATCTAGAAGCACAAGTGCTTCTGAGCTGCTGTTCTGGGCTCATGGGGGATGACCTACATCTCCAGATGTGCAATGACCATGACCCTGAAGGCAACCCAAAGTAAAAGATGAAACCAGACAGGCCCTTGGCCCTCAGGACAAATGTGGCACCTGTCTCATGAATCTTCTAGAAGAAAATTTGGCAAACTTTTGTCCTTTGAGGGTCCAATGGTCTTGTTCTCAACTCCCCAGTGTTGCCTTGAAAGTACCATAGACATAAGCGGCCGACTTCAGCTCAGGTCATGATCTCGCAGTCCGTGAGTTTGAGCCCTGTGTCGGGCTCTGTGCTGACAGCTCAGAGCCTGGAGCCTGTTTCAGATTCTGTGTCTCCCTCTCTCTGACCCTCCCCCGTTCATGCTCTGTCTCTCTCTGTCTCAAAAATAAATAAACGTTAAAAAAAAAATTTAAACAAAAGTACCATAGACAATATGAACACAAATAAGGGTGTTGTATTCCAGTCAGACTGTATTTACACACAGACAGGGGCCACATTTGGTTCTCAAGCTGTGGCAGCACCCCCTAACCAGTCATCCCTTCAGTGCCCATGCAGATGGACTACCCGGTGGCTGACATTCCCTGCTTCACCCCAATGTCCTTGTCTCCCTCAATTTCTGCTCAGGGCTTCCTCTGTACAAGTGGCACTCCAGAAGCAGAGCAGGCACACCTCAGTGGGGAGAAGTAAGGCAACATTCCATCCCCAGGTGGGGCTGTAGTGTGGAAGAGCCCATTGTCCCAGCCTCAGAGAGGCTGTCAGAGGCAAGATCCACAGGGTATCACACTCTCCTGCAGGACAAAACCCATGGCTGCTCAGTGACCCATAACAACAGCCACATTGACTTCTCCCTCCACTGCCTCCCTTTTTTTTGTGTGTGCCCTTGAGATCATCTCCGAAATGAATTATCTACATCCTCCAGTCTGCCTCACAGGGTCTCACTGGGGATTCAGCAGACATGTGGTATTAGATGTCTTCAGGGCTTATCCTCCATAGAGACCTGGATGTGCTTCCCATTATTCCAGACAGAGACGGGGGAGAGCCTGGCAGTGGGCATCCTTGCTGCTGGCTGAGCATCACTCAGCATGGACACAGCTGTGATCTTGTCCCACAGCACCCCCACCTAGTCCCAGATTTGAGTAGATTTTTCTGAAGATCCTCCCACCCACCACCCTCCTGCCTGCTCCCACATTGTTCTGTTCTGAGTTGTGCCTCAATCCACAGAGGGAAGCATAAAGGGACCTCTTTATCCACTGTGATCCCAACATATTTTCCACAGTCAATTCCACTAATTCTACTGAAGTACCATCAGGTGGCTCTAGGAGACAGTCTCCTGTGGTGGGAATGGGAGAGGTAACTGTCCAGGCCCTTTGTGAGCTCATCCCACCTCCTGGAACTGGGGGAGTGGAGCCAACAAGGTAAGGCATCAAGTTGTGCCTCCTGGCAGGGTCTCACTAAATTTTGTACCAGATCACATTTGTGGGGCTTCATTAATCGTTCCACCCCTCCTCCTCCCATGGGAATCTACAGAGAGTAGGGATTTTGTCACAGTTTCTACTGTGCCCAAGGCCCTGAGGGTGAGTACATGTTTCAGGTGTTCCAGCTTTGTAATAAATGTAGGACTGAGAGACCAGTTCTTGTGGGAAGACCCCTCTCCCTTACCCCGTCCATCCTTATTGGTTTGGGGTGGTCCTGCCTGCTTCTTTTCCAGAGTCTGTGTGTTAAAGGCACAGGGAAATGGGTTTCTGCATACTCACTGTTGCCATGAGGTAGGTCCTTAGGCAAAGCCCTGCCAGAGGCAGAGACAGAGGCAGCAAGTTGCTAGAAACATAATTCAGCTGCCTGGCCAGGTCTCAATTCCCAGAAAGGAAAAGAGGCCCAGTCCATGGCTTAGTCTCAGGAGGGCTCCTTCTTCTCCTGAAATGTGAGTCAAGTGTTGACTCCACCACCCTAGCTGTTGGTTGACCTGTCAGCCTCAGTCTCTGGGTCAAGACCTGAAGCCTTGAAAATAGCTGTACTGGCTATCAAATGCTCTTCACATATTAATAGTGTTCTGCTCTGTGGCCACTTCACCAACTTCCAGGGGACATTGACACTTTCCTCAACTTTTCCAGGGTGTCAGGGTCATGATATAGCCTCAAATAAATACAGGACTGAACACAAAGTAACAACAAAGTGGAAAGCTTGAGGAGGACTTGGAGGATGCCCAGACTTCTCCCGTTGGGGCCAGAAGGATAAGGGGGTTGGAACCTGGGGGAGGGGGAGCTGGCAGGTGATGTACATGAGAATATATCCCAGCAGCCTGCAGTCCTTGCCATATGCGTGAGCCTTAGCATGACTCTGTACATTCCAGATATCTACTCCAGTCCCTGATGCTGATACCCCTCAGATCTCAATACCTTACATGGGATTCAGACATGGGTTTCTCCCTGGCCCTTGTCTAGCCCAGAAAAGGAGCATGTCCTGCTTCAAGGTACATTTTTGACTCTCTTTTTTTCAAAATTTCTCATGATCAAAGGGAAAACGAGGACATGGTGGCAAAGCCAATGCTTCTGGCTTCCATGTGACTTCTAAAGAACACAATTTCCAGAGAAGTGTGAGAGAAGGACGCAATTTATCTTTGGCAGCTGCCCCACACACACACACCAGTAGCCCAGGCTTAGACTTAATGAGCCTTCGAATCTTGGAAGGGAATGAGCCAATATTCAGACACTCAAGTGTCTCAGAGCCTATACATCCACACATTCCAGTTCTCTTCATGCTCACATATACCCCTGCCAACTGTCGAAATAAAAACTCAGAAATCTCAGTCAATGTAACTGTCTTGATCCTGATTCTTCATTCTTATTAACTCAGTGCATCAGAAGGGCCCAGGTAGTTTTGGAGAGTTAAACCCAAAGCAGTATCCCACTAATACTATCCAGATGACTTGGCTGTGGTTAGTACAGTCTGATTTGCCCCAGATATTTCAGGTATTATGGATAAGATGCAAACAATTAGTCCAGGGTGTGTGAATGTGTTAGGTCTTTCCATGTGTGGAACCTCATTGTCAGGGCTAGGGGAGAAAGTCATGTGCCAGGGGCTGCTCATGGGAACAAGTGGGGCTGGCTAACTCCAGTTATAGAGCAAGAGAGAAAGTATGCTGGCAGTTCAGGCTGTGCACCCACAGTGGTTGGGGGCTTAAGTGCAGAGGTGAGCAGAGAAGTACAAGATATAGGTGCTGCAGGTATAGGGATCCTCATCCCAAGGTAGGGGGAGCAATGTGATGAGACCCACTCTGACTGTGTCCCCAGAGCTCCATGACCATGTGGAGGAGGATGGAGGCAAAGGTGTGCCTTCCCCAGGACACCACTGCTGGCTGAGGTGAGAAGGTGCAAACTGTGTCCTGTTGCCTGGCTTCCCCCAGACATAGCTCAGGTGGTCCCATGCTGTCCTTCACAGTGGATCTGAACTCCACTATGAGGTTGTTTCCTCCAGAATCTGACCTTAAGACAGAAATTCAAGTGCAAGTTGTTTACTTGGAGGTAATTATAGAAAATACCAGAAGACAATAGGGAAGTAGGAATGGGAAGCAGTATACAACAGTGAGCAGATTAACAATGTGGGCAACTAGGGCTTTTGTCTTTTCACCTCTCGGAGACTGGATAGAATATGCCTTAGTGTTTTCTTCCAGGGGTACAAAGTCTGAGGCATTCCCTCCACAGCACTCCAGCCACTTCCCACAGGTGGAGAGAAAGCCTTCAGACAAAGAGGCTCAGTGTGGGTACTGTTTACCTGTCAGCCAGGTGGCCTCTGATCTTCACTCTCATATGTCTAAGATGACATGTGTCATCTAAGTAGCTCCTGTACTACTACTGACACTGCCCTGGCTGGCCTTGACCTGCACATTAGTGCTGCAGTTTCCACATCCAGGTTTCAGAAAGTGCCTCTTTCTGGTCATGTTAACTATCTTCATTATCTTAGCCCACATCTACACACACACACACACACACACACACACACACACACACACTTGTGCACAAACACACACACAGTGGTAACCAACCTTCACATGGCCTCCACTGATCCTCATCTCCTGGTCTCACACCCTTGTAGAGTCCCCCCAAAACTGAACCAGAACTAATCTGGGTGGCAAATAGTACAAGGAAGAGGTGATGGTGTGTGACATCTGAAGCTGGATCACAAAGGGCTCAATGCCCTTTGGTTTCCATCTTGGTCTCTCAGAACATTCTATCTGGAGGAAGCCATATGAAGCACATAGCAGCCCTGTGGAGAGACTGACATGGAGGAGAACAGAGATCTCCTGTCAATGGCCAACGTCAACTTGTAGTCATGAGTGTGAGCCACCTGAGAAGTGGATTCTTCAGAGCCAAATTAACCCTCATGTGAGGCCAGTGTAGTCAATGACTGAGTGTAGATGCTCAGACACTCACTCAAGAGAGACAGTGACACCTGGAAACACCCCACCAAGTCTCCCTCAGATCCCTGACCCACTGACACCCTGAGAGACTTAAATTTCTTAAGCCACTAGGGGCAGGGTGATTAGACATGCAGCATTAGATAACTAACACATAAAACTGTGCACACACACATACACAAAACAGCTTACTATCCATGAAACATCCATCCCCTTGCATTTTTTTCTGCTTCACGTCAAAACCAAAAGTACATTGCAAATCTAAAAATGACCCAACTATCTTCCAGTTGGATTGGTTGTCTAAAACTGTTTCTAAACCATTGGACTGTATCTTCCCTGGAGTCCTAGGCAGGAGGATTTTTGTGGAAATCCATGGAAGGAACACTCCCAAATAAGTCAGACCCTCAGAACCTTGATGAAATAACACATGAGCTCAAAACAGTTGAGCTTGGTTAGTTCTCCAGAAACAGCTGTCCTCCAGTTAGTTCTCCAGAAACAACTGTCAGTGAAAAGTAATTTGTCCTCAGCATTCAATGAGATATTGGAAACAGGTTCATACGTTCTTCCGTTTGTTGGTAGCAGATTGTCCTGCTAGTAGATGACAGAGTCAATTAGAACAGGCTGATCAATACAGTAAAAAGGCATTATGTTCTCAGTATCAGCCCCTAAAGAGTAGATAAAAAAGCAAAAAAGTCACAAAAATGAAGTCAATGGGTCAGTTTATTTAAATGTTTTGCAAGTGTCTTTGCTTCTTTAAAATGGAAGTGAGAGCAGCTGAATATGCTAGAAGATAATTAGACCTCTTTGCATTGTTTCTTCAGCATAGTGAACTCAAATTTCCAAGGTTTGGTTGCAACAATAAAGGTGCAATAAAACATCTAAAAAAGACAAAAAGAATAATCAGCTTATAAGAAAGAAAAATAAAAAGCAAACAAATAAACATATGTTTCTATTTCCAGGTACCAGTATTTGGCTTCAGGGTGGCTAAAGGCTGCCTGAGCCAGTCATGCCTCCACAGTCTCTGGAACTGTTGAACCTGAGGCCGTCTGGGAGAGGAGCCAGCCTCATTAACCAGGATGGACCACTGCCAATTCATCTCCATGTGATCTGAAGCCATCACGGATGTCTGAGCCATCATGGATAGCTGGACCCCAGAATAGCTGGACCCCAGAAACTGATTATTCTCAGAAATCCTCATTTCCAGATCTGTTGCTCATCTAGCCACCCTGACTTCCCTTCAGCCCACTGAGACTCCATGTTGCATGGAAAGCCCAGTGAATCCTACCCAGGAGCTACAACCCAACAAGAATAGTATAGAGTCATGTATCCCTTGGTGAGGCTGGTCAAAATCAGGCCAGAGATGAGAAGCAAAGACTGCAGCCAGGGAGCTAAGGGGACACACAGAGCTCTTCCCAGGGCCTGCAGAATGAGCAGAATTTCAGGTTCCTGGTGTGGGATGAGTTCAACTAAAATCTTTATTCAGTTAGAATAAAAATATAAACTAGGAATGCCTCCACTATATCAATGGAAACATGAATGGCAACATCCAATAGAATTGAAGTTATATAAGATAAAAATACTGATATACAAGTACTGATAAAAAATCAGCTTGAGGAATAAAATAGGACCAAGCTACCAGCAATCCAGACAGACCATTGGAGAACTAAGGCCAGTCCAGGGATGCATCCCAGCTAGAGTGGCATCTGGGATGGGTTCAGCTGGTTCCCAGCAGTGGTAGGAAGGGGAGAGAGTGGATTTATCAGACAGTTAACTAATTGCTTAATTTCTGGATCAGCCAAAGTAGACAGGAAACAATCAGAAAGAAGAGAAATTGAAAAACAAAATATCAGGATCAATTCTAGAGGACATTTAAACAATGTATATCAAAAATCTTTAAGAAGCGAAAAATTACTAAATGAGTATAGTTCAACTTCCAGGAACTTTACCTGCATGGAAACAATAACCAGATATACATTCAAATAGAAATAAAGAATATTAATTAAAGCACTGTTCATAATAGCTAAAAATTAGGAAAACTTAACCAATTCTCAGGAATTGGCTTAGAAAAATGTGTAAAACCATTAAATGAAATCACAGTTTCACTACATGATGCTCTCACATAATTTTACAGTTTAGAAATTCTTAGAACTTATTATTAAGTGAAAATCTAGATTATAATACAGTAGAGAGTATGAGCCCAACTGCACAAAATACAAATATAAAATATAGGAAAGTTAATATAAATAACAATATATTGACAGTGGTAAACTCTACATAAGAGTATTTATAGTTGATTTTAAGTAATTTAATACTTTTGAAGGTTCCAAATTTTCTACATGAAATGAATCAGGCCAATAACTATTTAAAATCATATCAAGTTTTAAATTTATATTCCAAAGAGCTCAGATGTTTGCCTTTTCATCATTTCTAAATCCCAACAAATAATTGAAGGAAGTGTTTAGGTCAAATCTGTAAGAGTTCTATGAAATGAGAAAGGACCCTGTGCAAGGACAGAGACAGAGAGGATTCTCCATGTGATAAGAAGTGGATGCATTCAAGGTGATGAAGTCTTCTGAGCAGCAGAAGCTCCATGTAGAGGATGAGATCATAAGAGGAAACCAAGAAAGCAAACTGTCTCTAAACCCCACAAGACTTGAAGTCATCCTCAATTCTTCTCTCACTCTCCATGGCCAATCCATCAAAAATTTGAACCAAGCCTTTCACAGACATCCAGAACCCAGTACCTCTAGCATCCTAACCAACATCACAGACTCCTACTGATCTTGCTGTCTCCATCCCTGCCCCCATGCTGGCTCTTCTCCATGTGTCTCTCCATGTCTGCACTCCTATTTCTACCTGGCATGTCTCGAAAGCCCAATGACTTTTATGGGCTGTGTCAATGGGCACCTTTACCCTATGACCTCTACTGTCTGTGCCAAGGGTGCCTTTGCCCTCCAAGAGCTGTGTCAGTGGGCACTCTTGCCCTCTGACCTATATAGACCACATCAATGAGCACCCTCTGGCTTCCAGTTGGGTTCAGCCAAGGAGAGACAGAGGCAGGAGGTGGGAGGCATGAGGAGTTGAGGTCAGAGGGTTCCAATGGATTGGCTGTGGTTCCTGACAGGGACCCACATATTGCTCCAGAAAAAAAAAAAAAGATATTAAAAAGAAAAGCTTAATGATTACTAGGGATATTAAAACATCTCAACCTTACTAGAAATCAGGGAGTGACAATGTGAAAAGGTGACAAGATCACCTTTCTCATACATCAGAATGAAAACATTTAAGACTCAACCCCAAGTGCTGAGGGAACATGAACAACAACACACACCACTGATGAAAGGTATGCTGGTTCAGCCACTTTGGAGAGTAAAACAGGTTGTAAGTCACATGTGGTAGCCCACGAACGCTTAAGCTGCATGTGTGGCAGTATGGTGGCCCCACTCCCGAGCCCCCCCTGCCCCGGGGGAAAGTCCCAAACCTGCTCAGTCAGCACCTGTCTCAACAGTCACTGCTTCACTTGTTAAAAGTGAAAATTTAAGACAACCACAGGTATGTAAAATAGCAAGATAGTTACATACAATGTAATACAGTCATATAAGAGCTTAATATGCACTAATACAAATAATTTTAGCCAATTTCTATATACATTAAATGACCCAAGAAATCATTTGGCATAAATAATATTAGATTGTACTAACATAACAAATCTCAAAACATATTGTTAAGTAGAAAAAAAAGAACAAGAGAAAGTTCCAAAATTTGTGAACCTTTTGAAAAATACGCAAAACTCTACATACACAGATTAAATATTAAAAAAAGAAACTAGTTAAGAACACCTCTCTCTCTCTCTCTCTCTCTCTCTGCCCCTGTCCTGTTCACACTGTCTTTCTCTATTTCTCAAAATAAATAAATAAACTTTAAAAACCTTAAAAAATAAAAATATTACTTAATTGAAGAGAAGTTCTAATAATTTATAATAATAGCCAACTTTCTAGATGTAGCCATTGACTTGCATTTGGTATTCATTAGAATACCTACTATTCATTGGAATATGAAGATGTGTTTTATTTGCACATTTGGGCAATTTTCAGGAACCACTAATCTGCCATTATTTTTGCTTAGCCATGTGTCATGCCAGCTTTAAGTACATACTAAATAGGTGTCTTCTGTGAAGACACAGAAATATACGTATATGCAGCTTCAAACATGAAAAAGAAAAAATGGATCTTCTATGAAAAGATAACCAAAACAAATTTGAAAAAGTGAAAAGAAAAGTTACATCTGTCCACCTGAACCTAGCCCAGCTTGCACAATAGTGAGAAATAATGAACAGGTATTGCTTTAAGCCACTAGGTGTCTATATGCATGCTGGTGGGGGTTAGGGGAAGGTGGTATCAGCAAAAAACAAAACAAAAGACAAACAAACAAACACCAATAAAAACGATAGAAACAATCTCTGTGTCTACAATCTGGCCATCCTGGATCCTGAATATGATCAGAATATGGTTTAGAAAGGAAACTAGAAAATCAAAGCAGGATTGGTCCTATTGATGTTCTCAGTCTGGTACACAGACCTAACTAAGGACTGCCCCCACTTGAGGCATATACCTTTTGCATTTGGGGGTCCTGTTGTAATAAGCAGTTTTCATTTTCTCCTGAAATTTTCTTGCACATTGTTCGGGCAATTTTGACTTCAAGAAAGTAATCCAAACTCTCTGTGACCTGTCAAGGAGCAATTTAAAAATTAGAGATCATAAACGAATACATGATATCAACTGCCATCTCTGATAAACGAGCATGTCGTTGACTACTTACAGCTAAGACTGTCTCCCTGTCTGCCTCCCTCCTACAGTTTCCTTGCCAGAAACTTTGGGATAACTGGAGGGGCAGGGGTTCTTCCCTTGATCCCTCTCCTTCTGTCTGTCTCTCATCACGATGTTGAATGTTAAATAATGACAACTGTCCCCAAGATAAGGCAAGAAAACTATTCCCCCCAAAATGCTTTCCCCAGAAAGGTAATGGTTTGCTTATTGGAGCCAGGTAAATAAACAGCAGAGTTTAAAATATCTTCATACTTAATAGATATTGGGGGAAGAAGACAAGACATCCCAGAACTCAAATTTACTTGGAGGGTATTGCTTCTCTCTCTAGCTTCTCTCCTCGGTACTTTTAGCAACCCCTTGTGATACACTCTCCTAAGTCCCTGACTTCAGGTCCTCTTCTTTACCTGTGCAGAACCCCCCACCAGTCCTTGTATTCCAGAGGGACCCATGGGGAAATTGAAATGCACAATGGCAAATGGAGACTTTCATTATTTAAAAGTGAGAACAAGGTAAGATTTTACAAGACTTAAGGGAGAGAAAGTATTAAAGAGAATCACTAAGTTAGACAGAATAATTGACCCTAGAAGAATCAGAGACAATTCACAAAATACAGTAAGCATTTTGGACATTCAAAAAAAGTTGCCCAGACATTAAAACAAAATGGTTGTGGTGGAAAGAATTCTAAGTATGGTTCTTGAATATCATATATACTTTACATTTTTTCAGTTATGTATATATGTGTATATAAAATGTTTGTAAGGACAGAGCCAACTGCCCTCAGGAAATGATGAGTCAGAAATTGAGTCTTCATTTCCATTTTTTAACTCAGCAACATCCAAACATACTCCTAGAGTTTGTTTTTATGATGGGATAACAAGTTTCTTAATGTCAATACAATCAGCTTTTGGGACTGGATCGATCTTTGTGGTGGGGGCTGTCCTGGGAACTGTAGGGTGCTTAGCAGCATCTCTGGTCTCTGCCCACTAGATGTCAGCAGCAGCCCCCTCTGGTTGTGATGACCAAAGATGCCTCCAGATATTGCCAAAAATTCCCTACCAAGCAAAATCCACGTCCACTTAAGAAACACTGCTTTATATCTGAGTAATACTTCCAAGTTAAAATTATCATAAAAACAAACTGCTCTGAATCATACTCAATAGCCACCAACCGACCATCAGCCCTATCTTGACCCCTGATTGCCCAGAAAAGGGAGGGGAATGGGGGTCCTGGCTGCTGAGGCAGCCCTGCCATAGACAGGCCCTCTGACCCTCCGGCTACAGTGTCCCACTACTCACACTTCATTCATATCACTTAATCAGTAACATATGCTCATTCCTAGCAGATATCCTGGGTTTAAATCTTGGCTTTTCTACATACTAGCTGTGTGTTCCTGAGCAAATTACTAAACACTTCAGTGCCTGTTTCCTCTTTAAAGTGCAAGAAAGTAGTTTCTATGTAATGAGTTGCGAGATTTGAATGAGCATATGAAAAGCAACCAGCCCCCAGGGCTGCTGGGTAGTTAAGTTTCTGACTCTCTGGCTAAAATGAACAAATCAGGAGACTATAGATGCTGGAGAGGATGTGGAGAAATGAGAACCCTCTTGCACTGTTGGTGGGAATGCAAACTGGTGCAGCCACTCCAGAAAACAGTGTGGAGATTCCTCAAAAAGTTAAAAATAGATCCACCCTATGACCCAGCAATAGCACTGCCAGGAATTTACCTAAGGAATACAGGAGTGCTGATGCATAGGGGCACTTGTACCCCAATATTTATAGCAGCACTTTCAACAATAGCCAAGTTATGGAAAGAGCCTAAATGTCCATCAGCTGACGAATGGATAAAGAAATTGTGGTTTATATACACAATGGAATACTACTTGGCAATGAGAAAGAATGAAATATGGCCATTTTTAGCAACAGGGATGGAAGTGGAGAGTGTTATGCTAAGTGAAATAAGTCATACAGAGAAAGATGGATACTATATGTCTTCACTCTTATGTGGATCCTGAGAAACTTAACAGAAGACCATGGGCGGGGGGAAGGAAAAATAAAGTTACAGAGGGAGAGAGCCAAACCATAAGAGACTCTTAAAAACTGAGAATAAACTGAGGGTTGATGGGGAGTGGGAGGGAGAGGAGGGTGGGTGATGGGCATTGAGGAGGGCATCTGTTGGGAGGAGCACTGGGTGTTGTAAGGAAACCAATTTGACATTAAATTTCATATTAAAAAAAGGCTTCTGACTCGATTTTGGCTTAGGTCATGATCTCGTGGTTATTAATATGGAACCCCACATAGGTCTTGGCAGTGACAGAAAAGAGTCTGCTTGGGATTTTCTCTCTCCCTCTCTGTCTCTCTGTCTCTCTGTCTCTCTCTCTCTCTTAAAATAAACTTTAAAACAAAATAGAGAAAGAAAAGGAAAAGCAACCAGAGTTGACCCTTGAACAACGTGGGGGTTACAGGCACAGTCAAAAATCCAAGTGGGAATTTTGACTCCTCAATAACTTAACTACTAATAGAAGACTTAACAATAACATAAACAATCAATTAACACATATTTTGTGTGTCATATATATTCTATACTGTATCCTTGCAATAAAGTAAGCTAGAGTAAACAAAATTTTATTTAAAAAAGTCATAAGGAAGAGAAAATATATTTACAGTACTGCACTGTATTTCTTGAAACAAATTAGCATATAATTGGACCCATGGTGCTCATTTTTACCATCATTCACCTCGCACAAAATCTACAGCAGAGCCTTAGTCAACTGTGAACTAGAGCAAGTGGTTGCAAACTTCTTCTTTAAGAACTGGAGGGTGAATATTTTAGGCTCAGAACACACAGTCTTCTCATTGCAGTGCAAAAGTAGCCTTAGACAGCACTCAAATAATTCAGGTGACAATGCTCAATAAAACTTTATTTATAGACACAGAAATTTAAATTTTATGTAATTTTCATATCACAAAATACTATTTTTATTTCTTATAACCATTCTTAGTTCATGGGGCATACAAAATAAGCAGCAAGCCAGACTTGCCTGGAGGCTATAATTGTCTAACTCCTGATATAGATCTTTGTACGTTTAAGTTAAATCATCCAGTAAAATAAAGCTCTTTTCTTTATATAGAACCTGTGTGTGTGTGTTACTAAGTTTAATCTGAATTATCACCAAGCACTTTTCTTTTTGCTTTTTTTTTTTTGTTTAACATTTATTTATTTATGAGAGACAGAGAGAGAGAGAGAGAGAGAGAGAGAGAGAGAGTGTGTGCAAGTGGGGGAGGGGGAGGGAGAGAGGGAGACAGAATCTGAAGCAGGCTCCAGGCTCTGAGCTGTCAGCACAAAGCCCAGTGAGGGGCTCGAACTGACAAATTGTGAGATCATGACCTGAGGTGAAGTCAGACACTTAACTGACTGAGCCACCCAGGTGCTCCAAGGAATTTCAAATACCTCTGTTCTAGCCTCTTTTTGAATCTGTTTCAACCTGATTCTTTTGAATTCTTACCTGCATTCAAGAGTTACTATGAGCTGAGAAATAAAATGTACATTCATGGGGAAAAAAATAGCACACAGTACAAAATAATTTATAATTTGGAGGACATGAGAATTTGCAGTATATTTGATTAAATACCTGCCTATAAAGCAGAACCATTTATTTGTGGAAGTGAAAAAGCACAGATAAAGAGAAGTCCATGAAAGTATAGTTTTGGACAAGGTGGGAACTTCATTAAGGACAGGCACTAACCATAAATGAGACCCAAAGACAATTGATATTTATGAGGCTTTACTTTGGCCACCCAGTGGTGAGGGAGAGAGTCAAAGTCTGTGTGTGTGTTGAGGATGGACAAGGGGTCAAATGTCCCAGCCTCATAGAGGATGAAGCTGCCAAATGAGCCTTCTCTCCTGACCCTGTTAAGAAAAGAGTAACCTGAGTAGGTTCCTGGTGACCTGGAGGGATGTACAGCAAAGGTTAGAAGGAAGAGGGGCAAGAGGGGACAGAGCTAGTAAATGAGGAAGAAAAGCAAAAAATGCATCCCTGTACTACATGTCACTTTGATGTCACAGGGTAGCCCCCATGCCCCATTAGCCACTCTCTCTTCCCTTTCTTAAAGTCCAGCCAGACTGGCTGAACCCCCTTTCCTTCTGTGTGCCTACTGATTATTCTCTGGGGTTTCCCCAAACCACAGTCCAATCATCGTTCTCAGGAGACAGCATTGGTATTCTCTTCTATGATACAGTCCATATTCCAATTCCTCCAACTAGTCCAATAACATCTTTTATATGTTTTTTTTAATTATTCAAGAGATAAGACAAGACCACACATTGAATTTAGTTGTCCTGTTTCTTACATCTCCTTTAATCAAGCAGTTTTCCTGCTTTTTCTCCTTGTCTTTCATGACACTGATATTTTTAAGAGGTCTTACATAATGCTCTATAATATGGATTTGTCTAACTGTTCCTTCGTATTACCTTCAGGGGATGGATTTTTTTTTCTCCCAAGATTTTATTTAAGTTCAAGTTAGTTAACATATAGTGTAGTATTGGCTTCAGGAGTAGAATTTAGTGATTCATCACTTACATATAACACCCAGTGCTTATCACAACATCACTCCTTAATGTCCATCACCTGTTTAGCCTGTACCCCCACCCATATCCCCTCTAGCAACCCTCAGTTTGTTCTCTATAGTTAAGAGTCTTTTATGGTTTGCCTCCCTCTCTGTCTTTATTTTATTTTGTTTGTTTATTTTATTTTATTTTATTTTATTTTATTTTATTTATTTTATTTTATTTTATTTTATTTTGTTTTTCCTTCTCTTCTTTCAGGGGATGGATTTTAGACAAGAACACCATAGAAAGATAAGGTTGTGTCCTTTCCATGACATCACATCAGGGACACATGATGTCAATTTGTCCCAGTGTTGGTGATGAGCATTGGGTGAGCCAGGCATTCACCAGATTTCCTAATTGTAAGGGTATATTTTCCCTCTTATAATTAATGAAAGAATCCCTCCAGCAATTTGTCCTCCACACTGTCCCACCAAGTGGATGTAGGATTCATTGATGATGTTTGCCTGAGGTAGTTGTTGCCATTACGATTTGCTACTTACATAGTCTTTTACATCTAGAGGTAGGCATTTTCCTGTAAAGAAGAGCCTTCCCTTCTCTGTCCTGGTTCCTTTTTTTCAGCAAAAGCTGGATGTGCACTTTCTTTGCTTTTTCACAGTTACAATCCATGCCCGTAATTACTCATTTTGATGATACCAGCCCAAACTATCCCAAACTGGGCCCTTCAAGAGCCCTTCTTGGGTTCTCACCTATGCTTTCTGATATGACTATAATCAATTTTGTTATTTTAATGGATATTTTATGTTTCATCCTGGAATAATAAAGGATGAATCCTAATTAATTTTCCTCCAAAAAACCCTAAAATAAAATTAATATATATTTGGCTAAAGACATTTCTCAGCTCTTTTCCACTCCCTGGTCTCTGTGGCCCTCCATGGATAATGGTACCCCCATGACTGCATCTTGGAGAGAAAGAGCAAGAAGAAAATGCTCACTGACCTGCTCCTGGGATTTCAGGACCTTCACCACCTTGTAGCTGTACTTGTCTTTGCTGGTCTTATTAAATTCTTTCATGGCAAACCACAGTGCTTGTTGCACATAGACGTAGGTTTCAGGGATGTCTTGGAATTTCCTCACCACCTTTGGCCTGCCCCAGGCATGAACACTTCCAGATACAAGGGCCACAGTGGCCACCAGGAGCAGCAGGCTCTGGCAGAGTCTGGCCATGGCACCTCAGCCAAGGGGGCACACGCCTTGTTCCTTTTTTCCTTCCAGGGCTGGACTGGGCTGGGCTGGCCCTGCTGCTTCTGCACCCCTAGATCTTCCTGGCACTGCTAGGAGTGAAAGAGGGATAACTTCTGTTATCTTTGTGTCTTCTGGGCTTCTCTTTCTCCTTTCCCAAAGAGAAGAGGAGTGATAAATCACAATCACAATTCAGAGCATTTTCCCATTTTGGCTGTTTCTTTCTGGAAGGATGCATGCCTCCATGCACTCACAACATTTCCCTTCCCTACCAGGAGATTCCTGCCTCCTTGTCTGTGAGGTCCCAACACATCCACTGCAGGTGCCTGCCTGTATCAGGTTTCTATGCACAGAATGGGATAAGGACCTGCAACAGACACACTGCCACAGGGAGAACATTGGTCTCAAAACTCATCTTATTATTTCCTCTCCAGGAGCATGTATGAAAATCCTCAGCCAGAGCCTTTGTCCTGCCTCAAAAGTACCCCCTGCATCTCCCCTGTTTCCAGTCAGGCTCACTATCAATCACACTGAGATCTATTTATGGAGTATTATTGAGTCATGCCAGGCCTCATAATAAGGATGTCACATGTTTCTCTTATTTAATTATCCCCTTTCGGGCCACATAACGAGTAACCCCTTTTTACACAGGAAGAAAGTGGGACTCACAGAGAGTTCAAGTAAATGCCTCAGGCTGCTTGACTGAGTGTCATAACTTTTGCCTGCCTGACACATACCTTCATACTTACCTCAGTCTAACAGATGAGAATGTGTAGATCACAGCTTGTAGTATAAATTTGTTTTTGAGGAGATTCCATTCTACTACAGAAGGTGAATCAGGATGTAGTTCGTGAGACAGAGGCACAACAGTTAATGTGTTAAATATAGGTAATGAAGAAACAAATTGCTTGAGAGATGTAGGGGTCAAGATCAGACCACCTCAAAATGAGCCACTTTAGCATGAAGATTATTTTGATTTAAAAAACAATCAAAACCAGGGCTCCCAGGTGGCTCCAACTCTTGATTTTGGCTCCAGTCATGATCTCATGGTTCATGATCAAGCCCCATGTTAGGCTTCACGCTGACAGTGCAGAGCCTGCTTAGGATTCTCTCTCTCCCTCTCTCTTTCTCTCCCTCTCTCTCTGCCCTTTCCCTGCTTGAGCTCTCTCTCTCTCTCTCTCTCTCTCTCTCTCTCTCTCTCAAAATAAATAAATAAACTTTATTTTTTTATTTTTTTATTTTATTAATGTTTATTCATTTTTGAGAGAGAGAGAGAGAGAGAGCACTAGAGGGGGAGAGGCGAAGCAAGAGAGAGACACAGAATCTGAAGCAGGCTCCAGGCTCTGAGCTTTCAGCACAGAGCCCAATGTGGGGCTCAAACCCACAAACTGTGAGATCATGACCTGAGCCAAAGTTGGACGCTTAACCCACTGAGCCACCCAGGTACCCCTAAATAAATAAACTTTAAAAAACTAAAAATTAAAAGTAAAAAACAATCAAAATCTAGTAGATTCAGGAAAAGTTCTTTACTTCCTTCCCTCCCTCAATTGCCCAAGAAGAATTTAGATAGAGGGCCTGCTCCAGAAAGAGAGCTACCACCACAAACAACTATATTATGCTGTGAACAAGGTATGGTAGACAGGAAGGAACCTAGCAAGGCCTGTTGGATCAAAGCCCTCTCTGTGTTCCATTGTTTCTGTGGGCCCAACAAAGATTTGTTTACCAAACATCTATTATTTTTCATTCTTCCTGAGGATTACATCCCTTCCCCTTGAAGTTCCAGACCCTGCCCCTTTTCCCTTAATTCAGAATCACATGCATACCTCAGTTTGCCTGTCTTTGGAATTTCCATATCTGTGTGGGTTCCCCATGTATATGAAATTAAATTTTATTTTTCTCCTGTCAATTTGTTGCATGTCAATTTGGTTCTTAGTCTGGTTAGAAGAATCTTGAAGGAGACAGGAAATTTTTCCTCCCCCAGCAGAGACAAAGGCAGAATCCATAAGTTGTGTTCATCACAGACAAGCAGTAAGTACATCTTGCCTAAGTTGAACAAGGGATGTGATGGCAGAACGAAAAGACACCTGATATCCATCAGACACTAACTACACATGAGTTCCATGGAACACAGAATATTTATGATGTCTTATGTCAACCACACAACAATGATGCTATCCTGGCCCCATGTGTCTTCACCCTAGGAACCACCAACCAAATCCTCAGGATGTCTGGCTGTGACAGGCAGACCTGCCTGTGTGTCTCTTCAGTGCCAGGGTGTGCTTCTGACCTGCTGTGCAACTTTGATCAAACCCCCACTGTGGACACCATAACCCCATCAGTGGGGAGCCTGAGGCAGCAAAGAGTTGCCCAAGGTCCTGGCAAGATGGCCTTTCCATCTCCCCTGCTTGCTTCCATATGTGGAGTGTGTTAATCTGCTCCCTTTCCTTTCCTAGCCTTTCACCTGATGGTTTGCACTGACTTGATACACATGGGACTTGCTCAAGCAGCTAACTTTGGCCTATGAGTTTCTCTGCTCCATGATATCTGAATGAATTGCCCAGGGTATACTTGGAGGACACCCAGGCATCACAGTCCTTCCCCACCAGCTACACCCCAGATGTACCTTAGAACCAAGCTCTTCACCACTTTCCTGCTTGCTGAGGCTTAAGCTGGCTGTCCTCACCCACAGGTGGTATCTTTCTCCTTCCTGAGGACTTGAGCTCTAAGCAGCTCCCTTCGTGAGCCACTCTCCAGCCCCAACACATTCAGTTCATGCCCCTGGTCAGGGTGTCAGTCAGACCTGAGCTCAAGGGTGCTTCTGCCCTCTGGTTGCACTCCCTGGTCAGGTGGTCACATCTATGACCCCTTTGTGAGGTAAGCCCAGCCCCTCTGATGCTGTTCAAGTGTGGGGCACCTCTGATTGGTCGCTCAGCTCTCAGAGGCCCACAAGGTCAGTAAGAGCCACCAGTATCTGCCCCTAGTGCAGAAATCTTGCCTGTTCCATACCTCCTTGCTTTCTAAATTCCTGGGCTTTGGAATTGACCCCTTGGGAATTAAAGCACCTTCATGGCCATTTCTGTCAGGCTTCTGTTATATGACTCCATAGTCCTAGAGGCAGGATGAGGCACCACACTGCCAGTCTCGGAATCTGGGACCAGGAGGCCCTTGAGGAGGTGGTGCCTATGGCTTGCCAGGAGCTGCCCCAGAAACACCAAGTAGAAGGCATCATTTGGCAATGGCAGTGCTCATATAACATACCTCTAGAGGATGAACAAATGAGCAGACCCATTAGCTATATTTCCATCATTAACCTTGTCCCGGATAAGCATTCCCCATTCTGCCTCCCTCTCCCTTGTTGGGGTTCCCTCTTCTGGTAGTGATTCTCAGGCCCCAAGCCAGGCTCCGCTGAGGAGCACCCTCCATCCCACTCTGTAGTTAGAGCTTACAATGACAATGAGGGAGCTCCCAAGAATTCAGAAACCTGGGAATTAATATTTGTGTTTCCAGAACAAAATATAAATCAGCATAATGAGGGTCATACCTGAGATATATAAGCTAAAACTCCAAACAGGAAATCTTAGGCACATAAAACTTGAGTCACCTGGCTAACAGGTGTTAACACAAACACAACTGTGTGCTCTATTCGAGGAGACCTTTCTAAGCATGCATAAAACCCAGACACCAAAATGGTAAAGAGCGACTGATTTGGCCACACATTTTGTTGCACATGCACACATGTACACAGAGTCAAGAGATTGGGAACACAGACTAAGTTATTTGGAAGATATTTCATATTTGGCAAAGGACGAAATTCTCTTTTATGGAAAAAGCTCTTTAAAATCCAAAAGTAAAAGACAATTTCCCCATTGGCTTGGCTCAAAGTGAACCAAGAATTCAAGCAGACAATATACTCAAAAGGAATCCATTTCTTCCCTTGGCCACACATCAATTGTTAGAAAACAACTGGCTTGTGGTGAGGCCTCTCTGTAGCCACCTCTGTTGATCCACATTATACCTGGCATCTGTGCCATAGGTCTGGACAGGAACCCAGGCATTTGTGACCCCATATCTTCTGAAGAAGGTGGTATTCATAAGGCAAGAGGGGCTGTGGGGTGGGAGAGTGGATGAATGCTGTGATGGGCGTGGACCCACAGGTCATTTTGCTCATGACTTCAGCATCAGGATTTGAAGAAAGGCCCAGCTGGGTGCTTGTCACTCAAAGTGTCCCTTGTGTTCAAAGTGCAACTGGGATGCATCTGGGTTCACTACTCATGTGTAGTGTAGTCTTCTAAACAACTTTATCAAAATCTAATTCCCATACCATTCATCCATGTATGTAAACAATTCAGTGGTTTGTAGCATATTCACAGAGTTTAATGTCCAAACCCACAATCAAGTTTACATTTTCATTACTCCCAAAAGAAACCCAGCACTACTAAGCTGTCACCCCAGCCTCTTGACCCCCTTTAGCCCTAGACAACCATTAATCTCTTTCTCTATTGATTTACCTATTCTGGACATTTCATATAAATGGAATCATATGATACCTGACCTTTTACTGGTCATGGCTTCTTTTACTTAGCATTTTTTCAAGTCATTCATGTTATAGCATGTCTTGCTACTTCATTTCTTTTTATTGCCAAGTAATATTCTCTTGTATGTGTACACCACATTTCATTGATCTATTCACCAATTAGTGCACATTTTGATTGTTTCTACTGTTAAAAAGAAAACCACAGGTCCAAATATCATCACTTAGGTAAAGGCCCCAAGTAAGTAAACCAAGACTTAATACCTAACCTAACTACAGTTTCAACCACATAGAAATGGAATCTTTAACCAGTCAACATGGAATTTCCTGGTCAGCACTAGGAAATTAACTGATAGGCCCCCCTTTTTTTTTTCCTTAGAAGGGCGACTTTGCTTAAACTTATTCCTTGCAAATAAATTCCTTTCTTCTTCTCCTACCCCTCATCCTCCTCTAC